CGAACTAAAAAATATTATAACTTAAAATAATTAAATATAATAGTTTGAGTACCTAGTTTGACCAAACAAATAGTTCAAGTGCCTAAAGACTAGAGTAAAAAAGAGTATAATTAGGTCCTTATTTTTACTTTAAGTATTTATTTTATTTTTTTTATGCATTTTTATCATTTCAATTTTTTTTTAATTTATTAACAAGGCTAAATAAATGTAAATCTTCACAAAATCAAATATAGTTGTGTAATATACAATATGATAGACAAAAACATGTGGCTAAATAGTTCTCATAATTGAGGGGCAATTATATTTTACAATGGCAATGCTTAATTGTCCATGAAAAAGACTTTCAAATATAAAACAGAAAAAAAATAATGATTCAATGAAGCACCAATTCACATCGCACTAAAGCGAAAATTATTTCATATGTGTGTTGATTTTTAAGAATTAATTACAGAATTTATTTATAGGGTAAACTATACGTTTAATATTTAAACTATCAGTTTTTGTCTGTTTTAATATTTAAACTTTCAACTTTTTAAAAAATCATACTTAATGTTTGTTTCATTTAATAATCTCGTTGTTAAAAACTTAATGCGTTTAGTACCTAAAATATTAGTATTGGTCTGTTTTAGTCCCTAAAGTTTTAATTTTTTTTTCAAAACTTAACGTTAAGTTTTGAACTCGGTACTAAAATGAAACGAAAACTAAACTTTAAATATGATTTAAAAAAAATAAAAGTTTAGGTATTAAAACTGATAGTTTAAGTAATAAACGTGTAATATATCATTACTTATATCTTACTACAATTCGGATTAGGTAATGTGTTACTCTTTGATGAAAAAATAAAATAAAATAAGGATCAAAGAATAGAGAATCAAACCTAAGATACTTAGAAAACCAAACACACAACAAATCATCGAGTCAAGAGTATACGATCGTTTATAGTTAAGAATATACTTTATTATCCTCTTACTTCAAAATTTTATTTTATTCTTGCCCTTCCTCTCTATATTAAGATTATGATTATATTTAGAAATTTTCAAAAATATATTTTTATTTAAATTAAAATATAAGTTTAAGTTAAGATGTACATGTATCACAATATGATTATAGAGTAAAATTTATTGAATTAAATTAAAATTAGACCAAATTAATAACATATGTAACTAATATGAACCAAATGTATAATTATACTAAACATTTTAATCTTTACATCACCTTCCCCTTTAAAGATTAAGAAGTAATGGTTATAATCAAAATAAAATTTATCTATAATTAAGTGATTATTATCTTCGAATATTATCATCAGGGATGAGCCGAGGGAATAAAAAAGTACATTCAATTTCCTTAAAAATTTAAAATTACCATATATTTTAAATTTATTATCGTTCCTCTTAAATTTTATATCCATTCCCCATGAAATTACCTTTAATCCCTCTACCATATTTACTCAATCGTGACCAGCTTTAGGCCAGCATCGGCGACCACAATCAAACTCCCAGCCAAAAACGTGTAGGCAATGGCATTGAAAAGACATGGAAAAGCCGAAGAGATGGTCTGAAGTCTGAATTAACGGGTTTAAAAGTGTGAATTGACTTCTATAGTCCGTCCCCCGACCTTTAGTGGCTGGGATTATTCTCCGTTTTGTGTTTAATATCTTGTTTTGTCTCCACATAAATTACTCCGGCATATTAGTCTTAATTTCTTGTTGCCTTCTCCTGCATATTAGACTTAATTTTTTCCCCAGTTTCAAGACTGTCTTAATTAATTTAGATCGACTCGAGTCACACATTTAATTTTAGTGTGTGAATTTCCCGGCGAGGATTTTCTACATACACAAAGTGATATTTGTTTTCACTGTTTAAGGTCTTCAAAGCTCTTATGTCTGCGCCGCGCAGACATTGGGCTTCGCAGACCGTTTATTTTTTAGAAGACAGAAACTCTTCTAACGTTTGTGCGTCCTCTTCTTGGCACAGACGTGAACTTATGTCTTCAAAGCTCTTCTAACCTCTTTAAATAACCATTTTTGCTATTATTTTTAAAAAAAATATAAAATGTCATTAAATTTAATAAATTATTACAAAATAATCACTATAATATTGTAATAAATTATAAAAGTTTGATAATATAATAATTATTTTATAGTATTTAGATAAATTTATTAATAATTTTATAATCTTTTAATAAATTTAATAAGTATTTTATAATTTTTTAAACTTTATTGACGAAAATGATCATTTGTATATAACTCAATGATTTCTAATATACTTTATATGAAAAAATATATTAAACTTAGTAAAAAATATTATACAATTAAACTTAGTAAATTTTTTTTATATAAAAACTTAGTATTAGCATTAAAAAATAAAATAAATGTTTTAATAAAAAAATATTCACACTATTGAAAAATCTGATTCTTATCATTTAATTCTGGTAAAGTAAGAAAGTCCCTTCATATAGAATAAATAAATAAAAAACAAATAATATATTTTTTCTAAATAAAAAAATACTAATTGATGTATATTATATGGAGTATATATTATATATATTTTTTGATTTTACTAGAATCGGATTGTACCACTCGAATAAATTAAGATGATTTAAATGATATTATAAAATCGAGTATTGATATATTTGTGAATCGATAATAATTGAGAATTAAAATATATTTTTTAACAATTACTTAAACCGAAACAAACAGATTGAATTAAAATCAAATTGATTTCATTATCGATTGATTTAATAATAATTTTTAAAATGATATATAATATTAAAACCAAAATCTAATAGTCCGTAGATGTAATAATTTATAATAATAAAATTCATATAATATTTATTTAATATATTTTTTCAAATAAAGTATATTAGATATCATTGAGTTATAAGCAAATGATCATTTTCGTCAATAAAGTTTAAAAAATTATAAAATACTTATTAAATTTATTAAAAGATTATAAAATTATTAATAAATTTATCTAAATACTATAAAATAATTATTATATTATTGAACTTTTATAATTTATTACAACATTATAGTGACTATTTTGTAATAATTCATTAAATTTAATGACATTTTATAATTTTTAAAAAAATAATAGAAAAAATGGTTATTTAAGTATAGCTTAAAAAATCGGTTTATTTATATTTCAGTTTATTTTAGCAGTCTTTAGACGTCAAAATATAAATAGTTTTCTTCTTGCAGACTGCAAACTTTTGGTCCACCTCTTCTGCTGCAGATGCTTGCAGATGTGGTCCGCAAACTGCAGACCTTTTACCTCTGTAAAAACAAACACCACCAAAGACTTTTATTTAAGATATTGCTTAAGCGATATCAAATTGCTTACCATTTGAACCAACCGTTGTCGGTAGTGTAAGTGTCTTCCACTTAAAATAAATACATATTAAACTTTTAATAATTATTGGTATGCAAATTTATATGCAAATGATAGTTTGAACCAATAATAGTAATTAGTTTCCTTAAATAAAGAGAACACAAATAGAATTATAAGAAGAGTATAAAATTTAGAGTCAACTAATTATATTAATCTTAATTGTTTTATTATAATCATAAAACCGCACAAACTAATCATTAGATAGTGCAACATGTCATATAATGAAAATGTTAAAAATTCAATCAAAAAACTTTTTTTTTATAAAAAATAGATACAAACAAATATTATTATCAACGATGATAACTAAATATCATCAATATTAACATAAAAATAAAATTCAATCAAAGAACTTTCTTTTTAGAAAAATAATATATACAAACAAATATCATTATCAACTATGAGAACTAAATATCATCAATATTAATATAAAAATATATTGATAAACTGATTTTGTCACAATTCAATTGTGACATCTTTTTTGTAGTTATCGACACGTATCTATATAAGAAGATTAACTCAAGAGTCTAAAATATAGAAAAATCATCACAATATCTAAATAAATGTTTATCGAAGAGATGATTTCAAATTCAACTCTGAAATCGAAAAAGATGTGCTCTAGAAAAGTAAATAAAACATGTTATGAGAGAAAGAAAAAAATATTATTTTTATTAAAAAATAAAAGACTTATTAAAATCCAGTGACATAAAAATTAGATATATAAAAATTAAATAAAAAGAGAAAAATAAAAGATGAATTAGAAATACGAATCAAACAATCTCAATAGTTAAAGACTATTATTATCTCTTGAGGTTTCAAGTTTAAGCACAATGTTTGTAGAGGTATATTGATATTCATTGCTAGATAATTGAAAATATTTTGAGCAAATATTATATTGTATTCATTCCTGGATAATAAAAGAACACTAAATAACTAAATAAAAAAAACAGCAAGGGTTATATAAATATGATTGACAATTAATTAACCAAAGATCGTCCACACCTAAGCAACTAAAAAGAAAAATATAACCAATAATTAGTTGGTATAGTGAGATAAGGTACTATATCCCTTCGGTAAGGTCAAGAGTTCAAAAACCGGTATTTACGAATGGAACCAATTGAGTTGCGAGGGTCACCCTCATCTCTACAGTACCCTATGAATAATTGGTCAATAAATCAGATACTAGTAATTAATTAAAAAAAGAAAAGAAAAAAAATATAAGATAAGGAAAGAAAAAAACCCCAAGAGAGGAGCTACAAAACCCTCTTATTTCCTTCTCTTACATAATGAATTATAAATATAATAATTAAACTAAAAGTCGTATAATTAAAATATCTGTAATAGTTTTCACATGGCCTTTCATTTTCACGAAGTTTTTGGGTTTAAAGTGATATAGTCAGCCTCACTGTCTTCATAGCAGGCACCTAAGCTAAAAGTTTGGATGTGGTTCTGAAACACGAGGCAAGCAACCCCATACCCTGTCTTCCCTTCAATTGCTTTCTCCTTTCTTAAATTCTTCTTCCTTCCAACGAATCCCCACATTTTCTTTCTAATTTTGTTAAGGCAAACTTCACCTTAAACAAAACAAATTGCCTTAAAGTAAGCTATGCAAAGATGTTCTTTCCAAGTTCAACTAACAACTATAATGTCGACCCTTTTTCTCACCTTCCTTCTTCATCTTACTATCTTCCCCTTTCAAGTCACCAACCTAATGATAATGGTTTCCTTAATCACCGCCACCATGATCTGGTGTCGGCTTCTTCTTTGTTTCCCTCCGTTGTAAATCATCAGCAGCCCAACCTCAACGAGACTTTACTCAACATGGCGCTTTTTAACAAGGACGGGGACCATGGAGTAGTTGGTTTTGGCGGAGGTCCTCCTCCGGGGTTTGGTTTCCCTGTCAAGAAGGCTATGAAGAAAGATCGGCACAGAAAAATTTGCACTGCGCAAGGGGTGAGGGATAGGAGGGTGAGACTGTCCATAGAGATCGCCCGTGATTTCTTTGATCTGCAAGACAGGCTAGGGTTTGGCAAAGCGAGCCAGACAGTAGAGTGGCTGCTTAGGAATTCGAGGAGCGCCATTAGAGAGCTGGCGAAGATGAAGCAGTGTGGGAATGTTGGTTGTGCCGGTTCTGGTCCAACGAGCTTGTTGTCTCTCGTCTCCGGTGACGATGATCGGTACGAAATGGGAGCTAAGAATCGAGTGCTCAATGTCGGTGGAGGAGAAAGTAACTCGGCTGAGCTAGAGGGCGTCGTTTCAAACAAGAAACGGATGAAGAAGTTAGAGAAATTAGCAGCAAGCCCTCTTAAAGAGTCGAGAGCAAAGGCAAGGGCAAGAGCAAGGGCAAGGACTAGAGAAAAGATGAACAGCAGTACTACTAGAACTCATGAGTGGAAAACATGCCCAGATTCAAGCCCTCATCCGTTGAGGTCTTTCACCGAACTTGAACCATCCAAGAAACCATATCATTTAGCTCATGGCTACAAGGCCCACAACAACAGCAACCCCAGCATGGCATCGTCTTCCTTTAAAGTTGTGGCTCATCAAGTTGAGCAACCTAGTGCAGCATCAACAGAAAATGTTATCGAGCAATCTATACTGATCAGAAGGATGTTGAAGCCGTCAACAGTTTTGGGTTATCAGCAAAACCTTGCAACTTCGAAGGATGCTAACTGCAACAGCAGCCCCAATTTGTCTCAGAATTGGGATATTAATGGTGCAATGGCTCATTCTACTCTCTTTGCTATAACTAATGTTAATCATTCAACAGGTACGTACTATCCAAGCGCAAGCGCAAGCGCGCACACACGCATATGTATATTTGATTATCAAGCTTCATATATAGTTAATTGTGTTTCAATCATAATTTTCAGGAGCTCAACTGTATGGCAAACCCTGAGAGGGCCTGCTGTGCTTGTAATGAAGGACTAATTAAAGTACTTTTGCGGTGCATGTGCATCAGAGATGTAAGCTATAGTTTTAATTTCTTGTTTATTTAAGGTTTGATTAGAGCAAACAAAAACACTTGAATGCTCACTTTTTTCTCTTTTTAATCCCTCAACTCGGTGATCTTTTGTTTAGAACTATCTTTTGCTCCACTAGCTTGGCTAGTTTTGGTTTAGGGGGAAAATTGCTGGTCCTCATATGGGGTCAGAAAGTTAATGAAGAAATTTCAACAACTATTCTTCTCCATCCCCTCCGATCCCCCTTTTCTCTTTGATGATTATCTAATTATAAGCATAAAGAATTTAATTAAAGTTGACCTTAAATTTGATTCAGGAACAGAATTCAATGGATGGTACCTCTTGTGCTATACTTATAATCTTTGCTGATGAGACAGGTAACATTAATTTTGGCAGCTGGAACAGATACCTGAAACTGAGAGTGGATTTTTTTTTATCAAGTTTAGGTATCGTTCAAGGATCGAGCTAGAGATTGATGTTAACTGAAGACTTGAAACTAATTTATTTTTAAAAGTAAAAAAACTGAGAAAAAGAGTTTTAATTCAGCTAAGTTAAGAATATCATCAGGTAGATTGTTGCTCTAGAGTATGAAATTCATGGAATACAAGTGCTTGTGTGAATATGATGTCTGAAGAAGAAAATTAAAAATATATTTCATATGCAAAATTTTACACTAAATTTAAGTGAGAAAAGAGAAATGAGGAAGAATAAGCTACATAGTCATAAAATAAATCATTTTTATCATGTTTGTGTAACAGTAAGTCAGGCACACATTCTTATATTGAGAGAACTACAATTAACATTATTAATTTCATTGAATTAACAATAAAAATTACAAATCATGATTCATGTCTTAGGCAAATGCTTTGAGATATGATCTAAGCACCCTTCAGTACCTTATCAAGTATAGTGTGTTCCTTTAAGTTGCGCAAATCTTGTTTGTTGGTAAGAAACCCTAAGCAAGATTGGATCAAATAGCCATTCAGTGCAATCTGCAAATATAACAATCTTAATATGAAATGCTCATTTAGATTGTGAAACATGACATTTTTCCCAAGCCCTCTGCATTGGGAATGCTTATCAGAATTTCCATTTGATTTTGAGGATCGATGAGCAAAGACCATATGGATTGTCACTGCTTTAATTCTGTCAGCAGATACTTTTTCATGCATATTATATCGATCGATGCTTGCCCTTTTCTCTACCCTATGTATTATACTTCATGGGGTTTGAATGTCCGCTACACTTTAGCATTCCCTTTGATCCAATCCCCAGTTTTCCATTTACCGGTGCATGCTTTTGTGTAAATTTGTTCTTGTTGCTAGGTTAAGCTGGATTGCATGCCATGCTCAAAACAAATAAAAGAAACATTGGAATGTATGCCAAATGATGATAGCAATCATTGTTTAGGCTGGGGTTCACAGTTTTGGAAGTCTTATTTCTTTCCTTTTGTGTGTGTCTTTCGTCTTTAGGGGGGTCTTATAGGTTACTGTTGTGTCTGGTTTTGACAGTGTCGTTGTCTTTGGATGTTTCTGTTCTGTTTTGAAACAGTTGCTCTAATGTTCCATGATCTCCCGTCGTTATTCACACACCCGAGGCTTAATCATGTTATGAGTTACAATTTTAACGAATATGATCACAGGAAACATAATGTTAATTAGAAAGAAAAACACAAATAAATTGTTCAGATATCTCCGGAGTGTCTTAAATCATGCATATGGAGTATAAGAACATCCAGTGTGGTACTGCATGCATGAGGGGATAATAATATACTGTCCCTTTGATGACAGCCTTCGATTCATTCAATTGCATGCATGGTTAGTCATGCCTGCATATATATACTCCCATCGACAAGCATACTGCTACTCAACAGTGCAACAATGTGTTCAAAATTTATAGGTGTTGATGGATATTTTAAGAGAGAGATAGTACGATTTGTGTTGAATGAACAGTCAGATTTAAAAAAGAAAGTTACGAACTCATCGATTCAATAATATAACAATCATGAATGGATGTAAATTGAAATCCCAAACTTTTCTTAAGAAATATTGTTCAGAAATTTTATTTTAAAATATTAAAAATTTAATATTAGTTTAAAAGGAAAAACGCCCTACCTACCCATGCCTAGATATGATTACCCTAACTTCAAAGGGGCAAAAAAAAAAAAAAAGAGAATGATTACCCTAGGTATGGGACCAAAATACTATTAGCTAGGTTATTTATTTTTTATTCTTTTCTTGAAAATTTATTTACTTATTTCATATGTTACAAAATCATGGAATAAATACGTACATATTATGTACAAAAGGATGGGTGAACAAATCTAAGATACCACACATGAAAGATTAAGTTAATTTAATATTTTCATATTAATCGGTTAGTTTAGTAAAATAAAATCTTAATTTTTTAAATAAAATTAACTATTTAAATATCAGTATTGTGAATAGAATAAATTATGAAAAATTATCCTGTGATAAAAAAAAATATACTTATTATTATAGTTTGAAGATTATACGAAAATTTTTGAAGATGGATTAAAGTAAAGATATGTTTATTTCATCGAATATGTGTCTCTTCAAATTTCAACTTCTCATTAATCAAGTGTGTTACACGTGATCAATAAAAGGATATCATTTTAAAAATTAATAAAAATTTTATGTTAATTTAAAAATAATCATTTCAATATTAGTATTTAAATTAAAAAAATTTAGTCACCGATAATTATAAAAAATGCTATACCAAAATTATTTAAATAATTATTTAAATAAAATTATAATACTAACTTGGAGTGTTCTTAGGCCCAAAATTAAAAAGTGTATTTGTATAATTGGGCCCTCCTAAAAGCTTGAAGATTAACTAAGTTAGATTGTTATAATACCAAATTAGACAATAAATACCTTCAATAATAAGCCTATAAAGTTGATTTGGGTTGGTATATTTTGAACCAAATTATTTAAATATTTAAATTTAATTTTTAACAATTAATTTATCATATAATATCTTGACTAAAATGAAATTAAAATATGAAAATAAATAATAAATTGCATTAAAAAAGTATATCTGCCTATCTATTTTACTTATTTGAATTTGATCATTGTATATTAATATGATGCAACGTATAAACATATATTAATTATTTATTTCATATAGTAGTTTTAAATTAATCTTCTTATTAAAAAAATAATCACACATCACTTTTTAATCCATAGTTGTACAACAATAAACGTGATATGATATCTGTACATATATTATTATTATTATTATTATTATTATTGTTATTATTATTATTATTATTATTATTATTATTATTAATACAATAACAGCACAATTATAAATATGAAATGAAACGTATAATCATAACTCTATTATAGATATATTAGAATGATTGAATCCTTCTTCACAAATCTAAAATCATAATTAACATGTTATTAAATTAAAAATAATAAATTTTCAACTGTATTGTCTTAATATATTTTAAAAATATTAGATTTAATATGTTAAAATAATTGGGTCCATCAGGTCGAAGGTTTCGTTAGTATTGTTACGAACTTGTGTTGATTAACAGCATTAATAAACTTTTGAAGCAGGGGGGGAAATTCAGAGAAGAAGAAGAAGAATGAATGATGCCAAAACCTAAAAAAAAACGCAGTGTCAAACAAGGAGAGTTTAAAGCCGAAGGCGAGAGCTTACCTTTGTCCCTGGTAATCTTTGAAGACTACTTCTTCTTCTTCCTCCTCCTCCTGTTCTTCATCTGCAGTTCACATTCAAGAAAATAATAACACATTGACCATGGAAAGTTAAAGATAAACGAGGATTAAGCGACAGTGGAAGGATGAGAGACAAAAACAAGTGAAAAAAAAGGCTGTTCTGGAGTTCTCCACTTTGGAGGTGTAAGTGAAAGCAGCTGGAAATATGGCATTCTGTGGCGGTCAGTCCAAAGCATGGGACACCATCGTACGCTGCTTCCTTCATTCCTACTCTATTTTTATCATAAAACCACCGTTATTTACCCTTTATCGAATATTAGATTAAAATCTGTTACTTATCATAAAAAGTTATTTGAATCTTTGTCATGTATCAAAGTAATTCGGATGTGAAATTCCAGGTGTCTGGGCAACCATAAAAAAATCATTTGATTTTTCAAAATATTTTTTATTTATAATTTTTCAGAAGATATGTTTAGTAAATAAAAAATATATTTGTTGTTTTCAATAATAAAAATAAAGAAAATTAATTTCAAAGTTGTTGATTTTGGATTTTTATTTTTTGTGTTGTCGTTTATTTTGGATTTTTCTTTCTTTCTTTATTATAATAAGAACACTATGAGTAAATATATATATATATATATATATATATATATATAATTGCACTTATAAGAATTTCGATTATAGTCAGATATTTAACATTTTAAAAATATTAAAAAGAATATTTTATGGTTTTTATATCTTTAAGAACAAGGCAATTTTTTAATTAGAAAATCTTTATTTTCATTTTTAAAATATGTTTAATGAAAAAAATCAACTTTATATTATTTTCAACTTTACGCATATTTTTATTTTCGTTTTTTAAAACTCTTTTTTTTTTTACATTTTATGATTATATTCATCGTTTTCCGCCTTAAAAATTACAAAATAAAAATTCTCTCTATTAAAAAACAAACGAATTCTTTTAAGCAAATTGCATAAGCTTAATCTATTAATGAACCTATGGACCAACTTATTTATACATATCGTTAAAAGAAACATTTTGAAAGCATATCAAGTACATACTCAATATGGAATTATGGATCAAGACCGTGAATAGTACTCTAAATATAATACATCATTAAAGTTTAAAAACAACAATTATTTAAATGATTTATTATTTACAATTTTTATAGCTAATTAAATAAAAATATTAAATCAATATTTCAACTTAACATACAGATCAATCATGT